GTGTGTCAAAGAATAGATTTCAAAATACTGCTGCTGGTTCATAAAGCTTTGAATGGTTTAGGCCCAAAATACATTTCTGACCTCCCGCTAAATTATGAACCATCCAGATCTCTCAGGTCTTCAGGGACTGGTCAGCTTTCTGTCCCCAGAGTCAGAACTAAACATGGAGAAGCAGCGTTCAGTTATTATGCTCCAAATATCTGGAACAAACTCCCAGAAACCTGCAGGTCCGCTGCAACTCTGACTACTTTTAAATCCAGGCTGAAGACTTTTCTTTTTGCCGCTGCTTTTAATTGAACTATTCACATCTTAAACTGCACTGTAACTTTTATCCATGTATTCTTTTCTTTTAATGTTTATTTTATTATCTTTGCTTTTTAATTACTGTTTTTAAATGTCATTTTCTTAATGTCTTTCATTTTTTGTAAAGCACTTTGAATTGCCTTGTGTTGAAAGGTGCTATATAAATACACTTGCCTTGCCTTACATGTTACACTGTTGGAGGAGCCTGTGACTTCAGTTTTTCGTTGACATATCTATACTGAAGCTAATGTACAAATGACAATAAAGCCTTGAATCTTGAATGTACGGTATTTTTAAAAATAACAACAGTAATCTTTAAGCTTTTTTTATCATTTAAAAAAAAATGTATTCTGTTTTTTTAGAGGTGTATGACTCTATTCTAACAATTAATATATGTTAAAAGAAAAAGATTTAACTTATATACGGTACTTTTTTGTAATAATAAAAGTTATTTTCCGTATTTTAGCTTTTCTTTATCATTTTTTAAAGATAATGATTCTGTTTTCTAGAGGTGTATGACTCTATTCCAGGGCTATTCAATTAGTTTGGAATGGGGCCCGGGTGATGAAAATGATCCAAAGCAAGGGGTACTTACAGTACTCAATAATAATAATAATAAAATAAGATAAAATATGTGCAGTACTGTTATGGAGAGTGGAAAGAGAGGTAGCTTTGTTTACTGATGTTCAAAAATATTTGGAGGGTTGTGCAGAACTAGCAATACTTAAATGAAAACTATGTTTCTAGCGGACAAAGTGTGATTTAGGTTGTTGTCTGCAGCACATGGGCCAGATTGTCATGATAAGCAAGTAACTGGTGGTGTCATGAACATTACTGCTGCACCCTCATCATCCTCCCTTCATTCTTTCAGGGCCAAAGTGATTGAACAACAATTCATCACCAAATTCAAACAGGGCTTATACTAGTCGAAACCTATATTACCCACAATCAGAGGGAGAAGTACTCAGATCTTGTACTTGAGTAAAAGTCGAAGTACCAGAGTGTAGGAATACTCTGTTACAGTAAAAGTCCTGCATTCAAAATGTTACTCAAGTAAAAGTAGAAAAGTATTAGCATCAAAATATAGTTAAAGTACCAAAAGTAAAAGTATTCATTGTGCAGATTGGTCCATTTCAGAATAATATATCTGATATGTTTTATAATGATTGATCATGAAAGTGTTATCAAAGCTGGTAAAGGTGCAGCTAGTTTGAATGACTTTGTATACTGCAGGGTAGCTTGTGAATTTACTCCAGGTGGAACTAAAGTCTGATTTAACACTTGATTATATTTCACATCATTCATCCAGATCTGTAAAGTAACTAAAGGTATTAAATACATGTAGTGGAGTAAAAGTACACAATTTACCTCTGAACTGTAGTGGAGTAGAAGTACAAAGTATAGAATGGAGATACTCGTGTAGAGTACAAGTACCTCAAAATTGTACTTAAGTACAGTACTTAAATGTACTTAGTTACTTTACACAACTGCCCACAATGCAACTAGATTGCATTCATTTACATAGATCCGGGTGTTTCTCACTCCACACCTGTAAGACAACCCTTACACAATAAGGTCACCCTGTCCTTTCATTCACTTTTGTTGGCATAACAAGAAAACCCTCCACTCCAAGTGCTCCTCCTGCAGCAGGCCTCCTCCTCCTGCAGCAGGCCTCCTCCTGCAGCCTGCATGCAGCTGCAGCAGGCCTCCTCCTGCAGCCTGCATGCAGCTCATGTTGAGTCTTTGCAATGATGATATTCAGATAAAAGGTAAAAGTACTATCACTACTCATTTTCCACTACAGATCGTGAATTCTCATTGGTAATAACGAGTGATGGAAACGAGTGATTGTGCTTTTTAATCGACTACTGTTATCTTACAGATGTATTAACTAGTTACTTTATAAATTCAGTTTTTGACACACAGTACCTACGAAAAACGTAAAATAGGATTATTTGGTATAGATTAAACCATCCAGCATTATATTTAACTGACTAAAACCATGAGTGTGTTCAGAGAAAGAAAATTGGCAGAAATGATGCTAAGAAGTTTCTGTTCAAAAAGATCTCACAGTCTATACTCTTAAATGTGAAGATTGGCTGCTATTGCTTTTAAAATATTGTAATGTTTTTATAGCTTTTCCCACAATGAGTATGTTTAAATCTTGTACTTTAGGTGGTATTTTTAATACTTAAATATGTTTACTTATTTATCTAAATAGTTATCACTGTAATTATTTAATTATTTAATTTCATCTTACTAATATTGAAATGTACATTCTCTTCTTTTATATATCATTCTATTAACGTGTATATAGACTTCTTGCACTATTTATTTATTTATTTGATTGTTTATGTCTTACTCTTATTTAACTATGTTGCATCGTTGGAGGAGCTCGGGACATAAGATTTGTATTGCCATTTCTACACCGAAACTTATGTGCATATGACATTAAAGCCTTTGACTCTTTGAATTGAATCTTTGAATCTTAAAGGACACCTATCATGCTATATTTAAATGATATATTGTAGGGCCATACCTATATAAGGTATATTTATACGTTTCTGTTTTCAAAATACCAAACAGATCATGCATTTTAGCCATGCCTCATTTCGCTCTATTTGCTGTTCTCCAGCCCTGTTTTTGCAGGGGGCTGATTCTGTGAGCTGCAGCTGACCACGCCCCCCTGCAGGAGAGGGGAGCGTGCTCTGATCAAGTCAGAAGAGGGGGAGAAAAATAGATCTCCGTCCTCCGTGTTTTATTATATTATTATATAGAGTCGTTATTCATTTGTTTTAAAGCTCAATAAATAACAAAGAAGACCTTTGACCGGCATTTTTCTAATTTTGTCCGGAAGATTTAAACTTTAACGGACATCTTGACCGGCCAAAGAAAACCTAACTGAAACTCTGCCGCACGGTCCCCTCGTTCCTTGGAAGAGGCGGAGAGGTGGGTGTTTGACATCTGCTGGTGGACTAACCGGAGAGAATTACAGTGCTTGCCTCGACGGGGAGGGATTGCATTGAATTACAGCAGCAGGAGCAAATGCTTGCCTCGGGGAGGGAGAAAAAAAGCCACAGCAGAGAATAAACAGAAGGGTAACCATGGCAACCAATGCGCGGGAAGTCTTCTTCGCTGCTTTTGTGGCAGACTACAGCGCCACTTACAGGCCTGGCATATGTACTACAGCGTCTCCAGCGCTTTCGAGCGGCAATGGCTGGCCGTGGCCCAACCCCACATTCCCCTGATAGGTGGAGAGTTGGCCCAATAGCCGTAGCGCCACCGTCCTGACGTCAGGACAGTGTTCAAATCTGGATCAGTTTTTATCAGATCCGTTGCAGCCCCTTTTTTAGAGATTTGGGTATGGAGGAAAATAGAGAGGGTTGTGTTTTCTGACACTTGGTGAGTTCCCTGGAACACCGGGGACACATATTCATGTATAAAAGACATACAAAAGTGCATTTTGCATGATAGGTCCCCTTTAAGTATGATACTTGATGCAGTACTTTTACTTGAAATGTAGTCCTTTTACTCAAGTAAAGAATCTGAATACTTTTTCCACCACTGGTAATATTCAGGACTTTCAGATGCAGTCTCCTTTTATGTAAAGAGACCCTGGGTTGCTGAAGGAGTCCTCCATAAAAATGAAAAAGTCCAAAAAAGTGTTGAATCCCTGCGATCATTCAGAATCAGAATCAGAAACCGGTTCATTTCTGAATGGGTTTACACATGCATACATAAACACAATTAGAGGAACTACGTTGCAACAGGAGAAAACTATTTTAAAAACTATTACACCATTAAAAATAAATACATATTTTTCAAGAAATATAAATACACAAACAATTAAGTACACCCAGACACCTGCAATATGTAATGTTCCATAATTGGTTTAGGTCCCCTGCATATAACAGACTGGAAAGAGGTTTACAAATCTTCTTAGAGAGACATTTGTTGTGCACTAAGCTGGAGACGGGACACAAAGTTCAGTTTTCGCACAATTGATAGAATGCTTGGATGTCTCGGATGATATATTTGGATTTGAAGATTTGATAAGGTTTAAACTAATAAAACAGTCTTAGGTGTGTTATTGATTGAATTAATTGATTGATTGAAAAGTTTATTAACAGCTTGTATATTGGGTACAGTACAGTACAGCTCAAAACATACAATTGTAAAGGGGATGCAGACCAGAGAAAGACTTTCGTCTTGTTTACATCAGGGTCCCCCATTTCCAATTCATCATATTATTTCCAATTCATCATATTATGCTGTCTATTAGTTAGTATATATCTTAACCCTAAGTCAGTAACGGGAAAGACGAATCCTATACAAATCATAGGTTGTAAAAAGAAAATCCTTTCGTAACATATAAATGTACTGGCCGTATATTGTATCCACACCTACATCCACATTTTTTTTAGACAACATGTCTTGACTCCAAACAGCTCTTTGCTTCATTAATGGTAAAAAAACAACAACTATATTTGTTTTAAATGAAATCAAACCGTGTAATTTGGACTCACAGCCACAAACTCCAAATCATAGCCCAATTCACCAGCATGTATGTTCCTTTACCATCCCCACACTGTGAGCGTCACACGGGCACGGCGGGGTCAGTGACCGCGCACGCCGCCTGTTTATCTATATGAGAGATTCTCGGGAGCGCGCACCCCCTGGCCGAGGAAGGTGAGCGAGTGTCTGGAGGGGAGGACTCGGGAGCGCGACCAGCCGAGGGATCGATCGGATTAAACTCGATTTGAGTGAAATTAACACAAAGGAGAGAAGAGCAACGCACACTTGTCGGCGAGGTCGAGGATGCGAGACACGCCGGAGAAATATTTGATGATTAACAAAACTTGAACTTTTTTCCTCTGTTTATTTATATTTCAAACGGAAAAGGACCACGGTGGATTTTTTTCAAGCCAGCGGAGATACTCTACTAACGAGGAGTTGATTTGATAAAAAGCCCGAAGTGACCGAGCTTGTTGGGTAAGCTAACAAGTAACCCTTTTGAATGAGTGCAGTTTAATTTTTGTCGAGCAGAATTCAGTAAGAGTGTGAGTGTTTGATTGTATCCACTGATACTGATTCATTAGCGTTTATATTCTGTCTTATTAGTAAGTTTTCCATACTTTTCCAACGATATCGCACTCTTTAATGTGCGGTGCGAGTTGGGTTTGCATTTCATTCAAAGCTTACTCATTGGAAATCTTACGTTCAGGGCTACTGTTTCATTAAGCCTCTGTTTTGTATTCTCTTTTCAGCATAAAGTCATTGAAGGTCTATGTAGCTACCATGCCGACATGCTAACAATAGCAAGTTTAGCTTTGCCACCCGCTGCATCGGTCACACACACGCACAACAGTCCCATAGATAGTTGAAAAGTGGAAAGAAAAGCATCCATACAAGACCGAGAGTCTCTCCAGTGTGTAGTCTGGTGCCACGATAACTTGTTGATTTTGGTCAAATGAAAAATTGACTGAATTTAGTTTGAAAGTGTAAGTGTTAGCCCTGTTAGCTAATTGTGTTGAAGCTTTCAGGAGACACGAGGTGGCTCGAGCGTAGAGGTGAGTCACTGGCCGCCTGAATGAGAGGAGCTGAGTGAGACTCCCAACGGAGAATACTTGGCAAATATCGGCCTGAACGCTTCGCCATGCATAAATGAACATGTTTCGACTTCAAACTTTAATTGGTGTTTTTATTTAAACTGAACGACTATGTTTCTACTGATAGGGGACAGCGAGAAGTGTCCGTAGTAGTCGCTAGTTTTATTGGACGGAAGGGACAGAGCAGTGGAGGAGAGGGGGGTGGGGGCAGTGAGGCCAGGCGGTCATTCCATACAACCGTGTTTTCACGTTGTTTTTACCACGTTTTACCTTGCAAAAAACAATGTACACATACGGTAAAGACTTGAGTCCGATTGAACAGCGTTTAAAAAGAATGGAGAGTGTTTGACTGCTATAAAAACCGAGATGAGAGGAGCGTTCCCTGGTCCGGAACGACGTGCGAAATACTGCTGATAGGCTAATTAGCCGTGCTAGCCGCTGTAGGTTAGCCCAGCGCTAAGACACCGAAGTTCTGCTAGCCAGCTCTCATCCCCATTGTGTACGGGCGAACACCACTTATTAGCCCCCCAGGCTAGCTAGAAACCTGCTCGGGGCGGTTATCAGTCAAAGTGTAGCTCGTGGGCAAGAACATTTTAACTTTCCGCATCGTTCGCTTCACTTTTTGTCGAGGTTTAAAGAACACAAAGTAACGCTACTCTTTCCGCGTTTTGGCTTTTGTTGTTTGTAACATTGTATGCTGCGACCGAAGTTTGTCGTTCTCTCCGGCTACACTTGTTACATTGTATGGACGAGCGAAAAAGCAGCATAAAACACCTGCTTGTGTCCATTTACTTCAGGCTACACGGCAGCACTTTAACAACAGTTTTGTCTTTCCTTTTTACTACGCGACTTTATTGCGTGCAATCCAGCACTCTTTCTCCATTATGGGTTCTGTAATCGGTCAACTTGCATAATGGTCATCCACTGCTTTCACGCAACTTTGTTGTCTGCGACAAAGATAAAAAAACAACTGAGCGCTTCATCCCGAAAACACACACTGGAAGTACTTTTCAGTTTTATTCACAGTTCCATACATTCAGTCTACATGTGCTGGTTCGTTCTTTTTCTTCCTCCCGTCTACCATATAATCAGGGGCTGCTACCCCCACCACCTTGTGTCTGTGAGCCAAGATGGCAGCTAGTCATGTTTAGCGGGCCACAGAGGGAGAGATAAGACGCCCCGACCACACATGCATCTCACAACAGATGTTCAGCACTATTTAGTCTTCCCCGGTTTGTTTCTCTGCATTTTCTTGTGGTTAAAGTTGAGGCACTGTTCCTCCCCTCGGTGTCTTATAGACATTTGATGTGGACCAAGCTGGAGATGGGACTCAAAGTTGAAATGTCCCCACATTTAGTACGCATGTTTGGACGCCTTGGATGATATGTTTAGATTTAAAGATCTGATGTAGTCTGAACTAATACAAAAGTGTGTTATGCTGTCTAATAGTCAGTAGATCTTGTAAGTAAGTTAATACTTGGATGTATGTACTGCGTTGTAGGGCCCATTTAGTTGTCTAAAGCGAGACAGATCGCTTATTCCTTTATAAAAGAAATACTGTGCGCTCTGTTTCATAAGCTTAACATATATTTTTTGTCATGCTTATGTTTTTCCTGTCCTGTTTTCAGTCCAATGCTCCGCAATGTCCCCGACATGGCCACCTTACACTGGGGTTAAGAAATGTAGATGCACCACATGCAGCGAATTGACTCATTCTCTACAAAGACAACATTAAGATTTACCAGTTTATTGAGATTTTACAGTATGCCGCAGTTCAATCCGGTCTAATATCCATGCACTGTTGCTCGTTCTCCACATTTTTACACCCATTATCCCATCTTAGCACAACAAACAAGCCAATATTTCTCATGACCATGAAGCTTTAACCAAGCCACTGTATGCCTTGTTCGTTGAGTCTTAGCTTGTGGAAGAATGAAACAAACTTTGTTTATAACAGTTGTCCATCAGTGTGTCACATTTTTGAATAAGCCGTTCCTGACCTATGAATCAATAGTGTGATCGGCTTTCGTTATCTGAAAATCTTTACTCGCAATGTGCCACCTTCTATTGACCTTTTAACCAACCCTTACTGTATTCAGGATAGCTCGGAGCAAGACATCTAACCATATGAACATGTAGGAAGAAGGGCCTGATGCCAAGGGCAGTTTGTATGTGCAAATGAGAGCACGAAAAGTCAGTGGAGCCCCTATCGGCATGCATTGAGCACTCAGGCTTGAGCTGACAACACTGATGCTGTTGTACTCTGCGAGTGAAAATGGCCATTGTTCCTGTCTTTTTCCCTCCCTTCTGATTTGACTGTGTATTGTCCACCGAAGTCCCTTGCTAATCTTTTATTACTTGAGGAAAGTCTAACCCATCAGGAGATAGTTCTCTCCCGTTCTCACTCATTTCTCTCACCCTTTCACTTATTCAATTATCAGTTAAAAATAAAACAGTCGCATTAACCAGAGTTTAGGTTTTATTTCAATTTTAAATATTTAGTAAAGCTATTGGTCTGTGATAAGGGATGTTTTATGTTTTTACGTTTATCAAAAGCCCATTTTCACTTACTACATGACTTTCTGTGCTCCCCTAAAATTATTTCCGTGTTGAACTTGAAGCATTAGGCCCCACTCGCATTCTAGGTCCAATGAGGTGCTGCTTTGGTTGAAACACAAATACCAAAATGTTTTTTAACACTTTACTGAAAAAATTATGAATTATTGTTAGCATCTTGCAGATGTGAAGTGACTGTTTATCGGAATAGTCCTGCCTTTATAATTAGAATAATAGCTGAAGATAAAAAGCTACCATACTCGGCACCATAAAACTACATTTTAACTGAGCAGTAGCATTGAGTAGGTGACAACAGGCTGTACTAAACAACTATTTTCTTTATCAATTCATCTATAAGATAAAAAAAGATATCTTAACGGTCCATCCTTTCCCCCAAAATCAAACGTAAGTGAACTTATGGTTGCAGTTCGAGTTGGCAAACTATTAAATCACATCACCAAGAAATGTATTTCCCATTGGCTGTGAGAAAATGTTCAGAAAGAACTCAGACTGCCAGGTTTAAGTAAGTGGATAAAACCGATCTGAAATGAAAGCCTAAGATCTATCAACATTGTGCTTTAAGCGCTTCCTCTCATGCCATGCTGACCTTACCAGCTGACTATTAAAGCTCTTCAGAGGCATAAAAAACAACCATGTAATGTATAATATATATATTTTAGCACGGCATATATTCAACAAAAAAACACTCTAAACGCCAACTGAGTGTAGTGCATAAATTGAAAGCTGAATTGATTTCAATCTTTGCACAATTTGTAAATACCTTATGTTTTTGCCCTAGTTCTCTTTTTTATTAAGGTAGATAGATATATACTTTATTCATCCCAAGCTGGGAAATTGTTTTGTCACAGCAGCATTTTGACAGTCAATGTACAGTCCAGAACCTTTCCTCAGTATCACCACAGAAAAACGTTGTAATGTATTTGGAGGTGGGCCACTATTGAGCAGACGTGTTGTTCCTGTGCATGGTGGGGGGCACCTGATGCTGTGGAGCTCCTGATGGACTCTTGGTGCTGAAAGCCTGGTGTTGGGTATCTGAGGTTGGTGTTGTTAGGGTGGCCATTTTGTCTCCCATCATCATGTGTCATGGATGGCAGGCCTGTTAGCAGAAGTGCTGCTGTTGTTTTTCTCAATCTCTTTCATCTCGCCATATATCGCTCCACCTTCACCCCTCACCCACCCTCCCTCCCACTCCCTTTCTACTATGCATGAGCTCCCTCTCTTCTTTCTCACCCTTTCCATCTCCCCCTCTCTCCATCTCTCCCTGCCTATCTGCTCCCCCCTCCTTCCCTCCCCTTCTTCCAGTCCTCTCATTTCCAGCCAAAAGGTTAGCGGGGGTCTTTAGCACCGTGGTGACATTCAAAACTGAGTGTCATCGCTGTCTCTCTCGCTCTCTCTCATCCCTCCCTCTCACCTGTCTATCCCTCCCCCCTCCTCCTCCGCACTCGCCCCCCCCCCATCCTCCTCCTGCAGCGAGGGCCTTCTGGACCGAGTGCTGTGCCTAGAAGAGAGGCTGGTGTTAATGCAGCTCTCGAGTGTTTGTGTGTGGGCTGTATGTGTGATAGAGGAGACGGCCTGTCGAGTACATCTCTGACCCAAGTGTGTGCGTGCCTTTTGAATCTATCCTTGACCTCTCCCACCACTATATGTGTCGTATCCTGTTTTCCCTCTTCATCCTTCAGCTCTCGCACAACATCTAACCTTTCTTCTGCTAGGAAACAAACAAGCCAAGCTAAATCCCCGGACCCTCCACTGGAAATATGTTGGCGTTAGTGTCATTAGCTGCTGATGAATCCCATCACTGAGAAT